AGAAGATTCTAAATAATCTTAAAGATATCGTATGTAAAATCAATTGCAGAGAATTTGGATTTTTTTATATAATACTTTCATTTTCATTATAACATCAAAGTTTTTTTTATTTAAATATGTTAACTACTCATTTTAATTTTTAATATTATATAATTCTATATTAGGATTAGTTATTGGTGTTTATATTCTTAGATTTTTTAAAGTTTATAATATGCTTAAAATGTTTAATTAATAGTTAAGAAAAAACTTTAATTGACTAGTAATTTATTTGCATTTTTGTTTATATGATTTTTATACATATCACATATATACTCATATAAATAAAATGAAGCATATAAATAAGTTCGGTTTATTCGGTTCGGTTCGGTTTTTCAAAGTAAAAACCAAAACGGAACCAAACAATAACGGTTCGGTTCGGTTTTTTTACATTCGGTTTCGGTTTTTTCTGTTCGTTTTTTTTTCTAGCTCGTTTCGATCGATTTCGGTTCGATCGATTTCGGTTTTCGGTTTTCCCGACCCAGCCCTATCGGCGGTGATAGGTGTGGCAGTTCCTTCAAGCTCCAATTTTCTTCAATTTCTTCATTTTCTTCCTCTAATTGGTAACCCCTATATTTGTCAATTTCTTTTTCTTCAATTTCTTTGTAAAAGTGTTGTTTCAATTCAAATTTACATTTTTTTCCATTGTTTGTGTTAATTTCGAAAATTCCAAAATGGTTGGTGTTCTTTTATGGGTTTTTCATGTTATATTAAATCCCTTATGAATGAAAATTGATTCTTACTAGTTGCTTCAATTTTTTGCGCAAATTGATGTTAAATTGGTTAAATTATAAATTTGATTTCATAAGTAGGTTGGTATGTTGAATTTTGTTATCATTGAAGCCAATTTAGCTACATATTTTAGTTAAATGATTCTCGAATTAATACGTGAATCTCTTTTGTGACTAAGGATGGAAACGGGTCGGGTTCGGTTCGGATATACCCCTACCCGAAACCGACCCGAAATTTTGATCGGATATTTTTTTTTGCCTGAACCTGAACCGTCGGGTATAAATTTCTACCCGAACCCGAACCCGACTGCCTAAACCGAAACCCGAAACCGCAACTGAACCCGAGAATTTGACAAAAACCTAAGCCTAACCCGACCTGAAAACCGACCGACTTGACTGACCGACCGACCGACCCGACTGACTGACCATACCAATATCCTAATAAATCAGTTTTTTGTAATGATTTTTATTAAAATAATGATAAAATAATAAATGCATGTAATGATATAATTAGAATTCCAATACATAAAAACATTTGAACGTTCAAAGACATCGTAAAATTAAGATATTAAAAAAGATGTGTCCAAAATAACAACCAAAACATGGAAGTATAACAAGTTTTAACAAATACGGAGTATTTCACAAGAGAAACAACACACATAAATATAACAAGTTTTCACAAATATTTTTCATGTCTGTAACTGGTAACTCCCGTAAGCCAAAGACTTTTAATTGAAAAAGGTTTTTCTATATTTTATAAAGACCTTTTATTTCGGGTTAATTATCGGGTCGGTCGGGTACGGGTCGGGTCGGTCAAATTTAATTATCGAAAACCGACCCGACAAAAGTCGGGTTCGGTTTTAAAATCTTCGGGTCGGTTTTGGATATTTATTTTTTCGTTCGGATTCGGATATTATATACATCGGTCGGGTCGGAAAAAGTCGGATTCGGATAAAATTGCCATCCCTATTTGTGACTTGTGTTTTGTAAAATTTTAAGGTAAATGAACTTCTTAGCCACATAAGTTGAATGTTTTCCTTAAGATTCGTTATAAAGTGATTGTTTATGTCTTGGTGTTATTGTTTGTTATTTTCATAAAAATTGGGATTGTTTAAGCGCAATAAACAACTCTTGATTTAATGAAAATATGTAATGTTCTTTTATGTGAATAGACTACAATTCTTATGTTTGAGTAGTTCAAGGAGACCTGCAAAATATTTTTATCATTAGACGTATTTCAAATAATTTCACATAGTTTACAAGAAGTACTTATGAAACACGTACCCTCAATCTTACTTTCTTTCTAAGCGAGAAAATATTTGAAAAAGTAGAAAACCTTAGTAACAAACTCGCGAACTCCACTCACCCCCAAGTTTCATTGGTTTTCCGGAAACTTAGAAACTGAGGCCCGGAATATCTCTGTTGACGATCCTTTATATGTGGTCAAGGATATGAATCAACTCGAGCCTTTGAATTATTTTCTATTCTTAAGTGCGTAAGTTACGTAATATATTGTCTAAGTGCCTATTATACGTGTAATGTTCAATTTGTGTTTGTTCTCTTTTTCATTTTGTTTTGGGTTCTTGGCGGTGTTTCTTGGGTTACCTTAATTGGAGAAGTTGATTATCTTTTGAGATTGTTTTCCCCCATTTTATGTAAAAAACCAAAAAAATATTTACTTTTACCCCCCCCCCCCCTTTGTGTTGTGTTTCAGTTATATTATAAGTTCTTTGTTTATATAAGTTATTGTTATAAGTTTTATACGTCTTATCATATGTGTAGTAGTTTTTTTATTTTATTTAGTGACAACGTGTTTGCATACTAAATTGGTTTTAAAAAGTACAAACTTTCTCCGTGGGATCGACCCTTACTTGCCCTAGCTATAGTTTTTATTTGATTATATCTTGGAGGTTAGCTAAGGATATTTTATAAATTTTTAATTTGTTTTGGACCGCACGACAAGTCCGCAACAAATTTTGGCGCCGTTGCCGGGGAATGTTTTGTATGAAATCACTTTAGTATGCCATTGTGCTCTTTGTTTTTTGTTAG